GAACCTGCAGATTCACAGAACGCCGATGGGTTGGAGGAGTGCACTGCGCAGACTCCCATTCTCTCTTCTTAGCTGTTCAGTGCCTGGTCTGAAACTATCCTGTAGTCTTTGACCAGGCAATACTCCCTCCAAGTAGAAACTGTAGGAGGTTGCCCTGACAGCTGACAGAGGGCAGATCCCTTGGTCTGTATTCATATTCTGCTCAGCTGTGGCGCCCTCAGGAGGGATTCAGGACTGCATGTGGGATGAGGCAGTGTGGTATAAAATGCCCTCATTGCTGCAATGCAGTTTTCTTTGTGAGTAGGGACCATGTTCTGATTGTAGCTCCCAGATGTGACTCTTCCATGTCATGGAAAGAGGGCTGACTCCAGGCATGTACCCGTCTGATACCAAATGCAGGCAGATGTACACTGCATGCTGTTGCTGCAGTGCTGCTACATGGTCTGCTTCAGTTTGCGTTTAACACGCCCTCAGTTAAATACCTTTCTTCCTGATACTGATGTGAAGGTATTGCCAGCATCACTGCCCACTCAGCATTTCTTGTGCAGGGTTACAGAAGGTTACCGCTCTACATTCCCATGGAGCTTCATCTTTCAGTCCTTCGCACTGAACTTCGTCTCCTTTCTGCTAGAAGTCACCCTAAATTTAAATGGACTTGCCCACCGAGCAGGGTGGTGGCTTCACTTAGGCTCAGGAACAAACCGTCTGTGTGAAGGGCCCTGCAGAGCTCAGGGCTCTGTGCAGAGCTCAGATGGTGCTGGATGGTGGGGTCCAGTGAAATGAGTTGTGGTGCTGAGCCTGCAGTACGACCAAGCCCTTCAGCAGGGCTGTGCGTGTGGTTACACCATGCAGGTCACCCTGCAGCATCCTGGTCAGCGCTTGGAGTGCTCAGCGCAGGAACCAATCAGCCAAGAACTTCCTGGGTTCTTCCTGGGTTAGGAACTCAGAGATTCTCGGTGAGGAATTCTCTGTGATAATCCTATCCCGTTTTTACTGATCTGCATCGATGCAGACATTTGTCAGTGCTGATGTCCCTTCAAGCTGTGCCCTGTCCTAGAAGAGCAAGCCCCACTGAATCACAGCTGGCATCTTTCAGGGTACTTCAACCATCTTGAAAAGTGAAAATGTTTTACCACTGCCACCACGCTCCGACTCTGTTAATGAATTTCATTGTCTAATGATGTTTTTTACATGTACTGCAACTTAAAACACCCCAATTGGGTTTTCCAGCTTTTTATGAGAAGTTAGAAGTATGACTGATCCTTTCTGCAAGCCAGTGAGAACTGGAGACGTAGCTTCCGCTTTGGGTCGTTTTATTTCACAGTCAGCGTTAGTGGCTCACGAGAAGAACACAAAACTCATGTACGGTCAGGTCCGTTGAAGCTCGGACTCACTGCTGAAGTACATGAAGTTAAAGCATATGTAAATACTGATGCAAAAAGCAGTGTCTTGCAAGACAATTTATCTATTTAACATGTACTGGTACTTTATTTAGATTCAATGTATAAAGCAACTTTGTGCACTTTTCCTACATACAGTATTGGGGGGGTTTATGTTCTTTTGTTACGGATTTTGTGCTGTCTTTTTTAATCAGTGAAATTGTTAAGTATTTAATTTATTATTGATGTGCCCAGAGGACTAGTGCAATTTTTATTCAATACAGTTTGTCTGTATTTAATGTCCGGATTTTTTTTTTTTTTGGGTAGCGTGGGTAGGAAATATTTTTCAAAACCTGCCTTTTGCCCCCTCCCAGTTCTCCTTTATTGCCCCCAACTTTTCTATTTTCATTATACAGATCATGAGGCATTAAATGTCTCTAGTTTGAAATATAATCAAACACTTTAGTACATCCTGCAGTTTCTAAAACAAAAAGGTTCTCCAGGAAAAAAAAAAATGAGGCACTTCTCAGTGTTTTCTGTGTTTGGTTTATTTTTTTTTTGACTGGGGTGTGTGTGCACGCGCGTGTGTGCTTAGAAGCTTGGAGGGAAGGGTGGGGAAGTTGCACAGAAGTTTTGTTTTAAGCCAAGTGAATGGCCAACCAGGCTACAGGGAGGACTAGATATGAACACTTTCTTTTTTTTCCTTCTTCAAATACAGCTGTATTTGTGTTGTACAATCTTGTTTGAAATATCTAATGCCAAAACTCCTCTCTTTTCATTCTTCCTTTCTTTTCAAAGACTGCGTATGTTATCTCTATGACAGTAGCCTGGTTGCATCCACAGTTAACGTGAGGAGATTTCCCTTTGTCTAGAAAGCAACATGCCAGGCATTGTCTAAACACAAATGAACCCAAACCATTGCCTCAGCCATGCAGATTCTGTCATCTTTTGAGTTTTGGAGGCCTGGGTGAATATTGATTTAGACACCCGTCCTCTCTTTTATTTGACTCAACCCAAACCCTGTAACCAAGTGCCTGGACAGATAGTCTGGGTTTGAATCTCTGGGGTCCGCCACATGTCTCTGAGTCCAAATGGGATGACTTCAGGTTGCTGGCAAGTTGAAATTATATCCTCTGTGTTCCCTCTCCACATGCAGGGGAGTCTCAGGGTTTTCAAATATTGTCGTCTCTGAGATGGTCTCTGCAATGTGAAATTTCTTTGAGTGGTCTAGAGGAAAAACAGGGAACTGGAAGTGTTTAATGAAAAGGATTTGGCAAGCTGAGACTGTGATCAGCGTGAAATAGATGAGTAACACCTCAGACCAGCGAAAGTGGCCGTTATTTATGCAAGAGAAAACCAGGGCCTCCTATAAAGAAATGCACTGATTAACTTCCTGTCCAGTGGCCACAGCACAGCTGTTGTCTGCTGGTAAACTGCTGTGTTGTTCCCCAGCTGCTCGACTCTCCCTGCACCCGCTTCTCTCTCCTGACTGCCCGAGCATTATTGCTTTCAACCAAAGACAAAACAGGACGAACGGATGAAACGCGACACTAAACCACTGGTTAGCTGATGGCAAAGGTCCGTGTGAGTGCGCGTGTGTGCGAGCGTGTGTGGTGCTGTTATAGGGAGGAGGGGGCGTGGAGGAGAAGGGACTGAGCAGGAGGGAGAGAATTCTGAAGAAACAAGGGTTTTGTTGGAGATTCTGAAATACGGAGTGCTGTTTCCATAGGAATGTGATTCATATCGGTCTGCCGGCTGGTTCCTCAGCCTTGTAGGGAATGTGGGTTGGGGTACAGCCCTTCTGAGCTCTACGCCCCACACCGTGTTAGTGGGAAGATAGGGCAGCTGAATAATTACAGGGAGGGAATGAGGGATAGAGATGGGAGTAGTAGCCGAGATAGTTTCCAGGCCAGGAGGAGGACGGTGTGCAGCAGTTGAGATGGTTGGAGAGACAAGCTGGAGCGGGAGCGTTTGCGCATCTCAGCACTCGGCACCTTCCTCGTAGCGACGGCTGTGGAGGAGCTTCGTTTGCGTGTCCTCGCGCTCCGCCAGCCCACGTGCGGGGAGAGGCCGGCTGGTTGCCTTCCGGTTGTCGGTGGATCTGTTGGCCTGTCTCTGTTGCCTTCCACGCACCGTGTCCCTCCAGCAGCACGCGGATGTTAGTGTGGAGCCCTCTCTGTCAGCCCCGTGGCTGCTGAATCACGGAAGTTGAGTGAGCCTTTCCTGCTGCGGGCTTACCTGGGCTGGCAGCCTGGAGTGAAAGGCTTTGGGGTGAGAAAGCCCAGCCGGGCTCTTCCTGGCTCAGGCTCCCATACCTTCCTATCCAACCAGCACGGAGAAAGCAGCTCTCCAGCCAAGCCAGAGCTGCTAGGTGTGGTTGGTTAATAGGCTCTGTTGCACACTGGATGGCTGGGCTGCTGTACCAGGGGCTGACACTTGCTGTAAATACGCTATAACCTATTAACCTCCTTCACTTGCCTGCTTTCAGTACCACTTTGTAACACGTTTTTTAACTCCCCTTTTCCCTAC